TTAGGAAAGTCTAAAGCATAAGCCAAGAGAAGCTATTTGTAGGGAAAAGCCACTGGAAATGGTTTGGATGGGCCTGCAAGTTGGGTGGGGTGAGGTCTCAGAATCACCAGTGTTAGCCAGGTTGATAGAGACTCAGATATAGCACCTCCCTGCTGGCTCTGTGAGGGGAGGGCTGAGAAAAGGAACAATGGCCTCAGCCAGCACTTCTGTCTGGGAGAGAGCTGCTCCTCCAGCCCTTGTCCTGAAGCCAGACAATTCAGTTGTTTCCCATATGTCCCTGGCACCTTTCAAGCTGCTGCCCCAGTGTTGGAGCACAGAGGGAGTAAGTCCAAATAAATCTGAGTGGGCCTTTAAGAGGAATACCTGGGACTCCAGCAACTCTGTCTCCCTCGGCTTCAATCCCTAAAGGTTTACAGAGCCAGAAGTTATGGGGACTTATCTTCCCAGCACTGGAACCCTGGGTTGGGGGTTCTGATGTGGGACCAGGGACCTCTTGCTCCTCAAGGGGGACCTCTGCAGCCGAGAGATCTTCCATATCCACCACGTGGTATGGGGCTGCCCAGTCTGCATTTCTGCCTCTACTACCAGTCTCCATGTGGATTTCTAGTCTGAATCTCGTCATTTATGCTAGAGTGAGGTAGTCATTCGTAAGACAGACCAAAGAAACCCAACTATTCTAGTTTTAACCAAAATCAGGCAATTCTTGACCTCTCTATGGGTGTACTTTTGTTTAAAGTTCAGGGTTTTGTTTAACATTCTTTTCATGAAATTTATAATGAACAACAACTAAGAGCACTAAGGAATATTAAAGTAAACATTATTTATCATTGAAATTTCAGATAAAGTAGTTATGAAATGAATGTTTTAAATTTGTTTTAAAGCATGCATTCCCTAAAGAATAATCAAAGCTTCTTGAATTTAATAAATCAGCAACTATAAATATGTTAAATTAATAAACATAATATCAGTGAAAGGATCTCAGTACTATAAATAATTGTCATTAAATTTACTTCTTTTGGTACAAATAGAGGCACATAGTGTTTCCTTAAAAATAATGTATTTAGAGGAAACTAAAATTTAGTTTTGGAATCTGATCCAAATACAGTAAATACAATCCTCCCTTGAATATACTTTGTATAAGAAAAAAAAGAAGTCTGAATATGTTGTGAATGTGACTGTAGACTGATGAAAGTAATTTTCACGAGTATTACAGGAACAAATCTTGTTACTTTGAAATTCCACCATATGTTGGTGTTAAATAATTTGTTTAGGTCTGAAAAACAAATCTAAATGAGCATAATGTGTCAGTTCTATGTTGGGAGCAGATCAGTGGACGATAGTAGGAGTCAGGGCAGGCTGCGCAGGAAAAAATGCAGAAAGCTTTCCAGCAAGAGGAAGGAGGCAAAGGTCAAGGTCAGAGGATGGGAATTCTATACTCGCCAACCTACTGCCCCCTCTCTACTCTCATTACCATGACATTACTTCAACCACAGTCATATTTCACAACTCTCTCCCTCAACTCTCCCTCCTCTTCTTCCATTTCTCATCACTTATCAGATTCTATGGCTTCTACCACTCTTTATAATAATGTTTGCAATCCTTTTACTACCCTTCCTGCCACTACACTGGTTGACCACTTACTTAGTACCTGCCACAACACTAACACCTCTCACCTAGAACACCATTTCCTGGTGGTATCTAGAAGAAGATTCATTCCTAAAAATGGTCCTAGAAAATAAAAGGTTCCTATTGTTAACTAACGTTTGAAAAGTGCAGCATACATCACTTTCCTCTTGGCCAGCCATATACACATTAGCATAAGACTGATGTTTTTCAGAGGTGCTTGTCTTGGAACTCTGTTTTCATATAACATTCATCAACATCTAGTCACTCATGTTCCAGGAAACAATGGCTTGCTGTATTTAAATGGCCTCTAAATTGCTCTCTTTGTCTAATCTTTTCCTTTTCCAATGCATCTAGTATTTCACTGATAAATTAATTTCCCTGAAGTGCTGAACTGATTACATTATTCATTTGCTCAGAAACCTTCCGTGGCTCCCCACTGATCTAAGCAGTGTTTAAGCACCAGGCTCTCCACAGCATGCTACCAATATGCCCGGCTGTGTGGCATAGGAGAAAAAACATGAACTTTGGAATCAGATCCAGGATCAAGTTCCAACTCTGTATCTTAAATACTGTAAAACCACAGGCAAGTTGTTTATTGCTTTGAGTCCTTTCTTTGCTCATCTGCAAGTGTAGGCAGTAACTGCAGAGAGGGTAGGATGCGGTGAGATGGGTCTGTGAAAGTTTCTTATAGTAATTATAACACAGCACTCTCTGGCCCCACAGGTTATAAATCACTAGGCAGACTGAGCCTCTTTCATGTTGTAGTTACTTAGTGTCTGTCTGCAGTAAGTAACCAATGATTTTCTAAATTGAGAACCCAGAGGATCACCTATCAGTATAAATAAAAACTGACTAATAAAGCAGTTCTCGCCCTCACCAGTTTGTCTCAGGCCCTGCCTTCATTTGGGGAACATTTTTTGGTCCTGAAGGAACAGGAGCCAGTTCCCACAGCATATTCAACTTTTTCAGGTGGAACTATGCCATTGTCCGTTGGTTAAGTGGGGTGTGCAGGGCCCAAGAACCAGCAGCAGTGCTTGGAAAGCAAATCCTGGACTCAAAGACACGAAACAAATCCCATTACAAGACTCAGAAAGCTGCTCTTTTGTTAGATTTAGAAACCTTTAAAAGTGTTTCCAATTTACTTGATAGTCCCACAGGAAGAAAATACAAGGTCCTCAATACATCTTCCAAACAAGGGAAATAAATTTTTGTTTGATTTGCTCACTAGTGTAGCCTAAGTGCCTGGAATAGTATCTTGTGCATAGAGGGTGCTCAGTTACTATATGACGGGTGGATGGATGGATGGGTGGATGGATGGATAAATGAATGAATGAACAAATGAAAGAAGCCGTGGTTTGCATCTTCTATATGTTCTAGCATAGGGCCGAGTATACAGAAGATCCTTAATAAATACTTGACTGGCTAAATATATGGACTTACATATACCTTAGTCAGTCAAGAGCATTTAATAATGTACCTTAAGCCAAACATTATTCTGATATATTTCTCCTTTACACAATATTATTATATAATATCTGTATTCTCTATATTCTCTTTCTTTTAAAATATTACTTTGTTTTTTATGTTTCTACTTTATAAAATATTTTTTATATCATCTATATTATCATCATTCTCTTTCTTTTAAAATTTATCTAACCATTTATTCATTTCTGCCCTCACAACAGGGGAGTATCACAGCTTGAAAGTGGGTGAGGAGAGAGAAATAAAATTAGGAGACTAAATAGATATTTTCAGTCAGAAAGGAAAAAAATTTTTGTGTAAAACTGATTTGAGTATATTGAATGAAATGAAGAGAAAAACAACTTAATTTTTTAAAAGACTGGAATAAGATGGAGAAAAAATGAGGCATAGGGTGTGTAGAACATGTTTCACAAATTTGTTTGGAAAGAACGTTACTTTTATACACACATTTTCTTTCCCTGAAGCCCTCCACTCAAAGTTTTTTACAACTATCATTCCTGTATGAAGGAAAAATGGCCAAATTCCTCCTTCGCAGCTACAAGAACCAAGGCTCAGTAAAGCTAATGATCTATATATCCAATAAGAGGTAGATCCAGGGGCGGGATCCAGGCCCCCAGAGTATTCAGGAGCAAATACAGTTGTAAAGTGTAAAGTGAGCCTGACACAATTAGAGAACATGAATCGGGTGGTTTGGCTGGAATGAGGTGGGCATAGAAGAAAGTCAAGAAAAGGGATAAATATGAGATAGATTACAGAGTCCCTGAAGTAATATAATAAAGTTTGGATTTTTATGCACGTTAGTCATTTTGAAATTATTTTTAAAGCAATAAGATTCTTTTTAAAAATAAGAAATCTTATGCGAGATGCCAATATGCAAAACAAATTAAAAGGAGGTGGTGTCTCCAGCTGAAGCTGCTCCTCTTTCTTGCCCTTGGCCTCTGAGGAGAAAAGTTTGAAAACTGAAAAAATATGAAACTGAGAAGTTTGAAAAGTCATGAGTGCTGACATGTTATACCAAGAGGCACAGAGAGCGGGTGAAGGCTCCCACTGTAGAGACAGGAGTCACGGGAGTGGGACCGTCAGGGCTGCCAGATGCTCGGAGGCAGAAGAATCCGAGCGGAGGCAGGAACAGTTCAGAGACTTGGGCAGCCGTGGACGAGGGCGACATAACCTCAGGCAGGGCGAAGGGCGCAGGAGGAGGCTGCTGGTTTTGATGAAGGACAGTGATGCACTTTTAACTGTCTTAGTCATTCCGTCATTTGTGCTACACTATGTTATGGTCAAAGGAATAGAAAGCAGCCCCTTTTTCTCCACCAGTTTTCTTCCCTGTTTCAAAGAGTCCATGACACAAGCCAGACGGCTGCACTTTGTTATATTTTTAAAAATTTTTAAGTGCTTAATATCTCACCTGAATGTCCAACATGAAGAAAAGGTAGGATTCTCAATGCCCCACACTAAAACGGGAAAAGGAGCATTTCCATTTTCATAAAAATTTCTGTTCTTCAGACAGTCTGAATAACTAGCACTTAATTTTTTATCTTAAAAAATATTTTTTCTAGTGGTTAAGTACAGTTAAATGATTTACTTCAAGCACAATTATTTTGAAATACAAGATTCTTCTTGAGCTTTATAAAATAAAGGATGAACGTAACATTTGTTCAATATGTGCATCCTACCCACTAATAGTAATTCCAACGACTATACTTTTGACTGAGAATAAGTAACAGTTTTGGGCAAACTGAGTTGGATGAGGGCAAATCTCCTCGTTTCTGAGTTTCTGAAACTTGTGATGCAAGTGCTCCCGCCCTTTTCTGACCACACACACGAAAGCCTGACTCAGGCAGGCAGCTGCGGCTGCTAAAACAGCCCGAGCCCTGCAGGCTTCCACACTCCCTGCTGGGCGAGCGCACCGCGGACATGAAGCTGGCGACCTGGTGCTGCCTGAGCTCAGCCGTCCTCGCTGCTTCTGGTTTATTGGTTACGGCAAACAATGAAACAGAAGAAATTCAAGATGCACCGGCCAAGGGCGCCTGTCCGGTGAGACTAGAGAGCCGAGGGAAATGCGAGGAGGGAGGCGAATGCCCCTACCAGGTGAGCCTGCCCCCGCTGACTCTTCAGCTCCCCAAGCAGTTCGGCAGGATGGAGGAGGTGTTCAAAGAAGTCCAGAACCTCAAGGAAATCGTAAACAGCCTGAAGAAATGCTGCCAAGACTGCAAACTGCAGGCTGATGACAACCGAGACCCGGGCACAGGAGTCCCGGGGGAGGCTGATGACAACAGAGTTACAGAATTAGAGAGCGAGGTGAACAAGCTGTCCTCTGACCTAAAGAATGCAAAGAAGGAGATCGACGGGCTTCAGGGTCGCCTGGAGAAGCTGAATCTTGTAAATATGAACAATATAGAAAATTATGTTGATGACAAAGTGGCAAATCTAACATTTGTTGTCAATAGTTTGGATGGTAAATGTTCATCTAAGTGTTCCAATCAAGAACAAATACAATCACGTCCAGGTATGTACACCATTTTCTTATCATTTTTCATGAATGTTATATAGCTAGACAATATCTATAAACATTAACTGGAGCAAGTAAGTTAAATAAATGATAGATTAAATAAATTAAGCCTTTTATTCACCAAGGTAGTACAGGAAAAACTCAATTATCTTTGCATATATGTGACCACAGAAATGATAGTTACAAAAATCACGATTAGTCCTGTATCCATTAGAAAACGCTTTTAATTTCAAAGACCTTTGCTGATGCCAAAGCTACACACAAACAGAAGAAGAGAAATAGAATTCCTTAATGTTTTAGTGCATTTAACTTATTTATCTCTTTACTAAAGCATTTGAAAACAACAGAGATAAGGCAGAGTTTGCGGTAGTACTCTGTTCCCTGAAAATCAGTTTCTTGTGATCTGTTGCTGACTGCTCCTTTTCCTGTGGCAATAAGATCTTGAAAGATTTTAGCAAGTAATCTGCAGTTCATAATCCCAAATATCTAGTGAAAATTGGAAATTTTATAGGTAGAATAAAAGCAGTCATATGGTTTCATGTGTGTGTAAAACTTTTTGCTTTGAGACCTACTGATACAAAAACATTTTAAGGGGAGTTTTGGAATGCCACTAAGGGAAGGAATACATTCTTCTTTCTCTCTTTTACCTTAAACTAGAATCCAAGCATATAACAGTAGAACCCATCCTCACTATCCAGATTACCTGAATTAACTTTAATAAGTATATGTTAAAGATAATACACCTAACTGACTACTCTGCGCATGACCCAGCTGTGGCACTGGATCCTCCAAACCCTGACTTTCCATCTGAGTTCCTGGGGCCACTGCCGCTTATGGTCTTGTTACACTTTGGAAAGCCATCTCTGCATTAGGACTAGGACTTACCATGAGTGTGAAGTTGAAGGGATTTGGTGCCCAGGGCAGGGATCATGTTCATTTGGAACAAGCACCTCATGCATGTTCCATCCCCAGGGAATCTGCCAGTGAAGGTGGGTAAGGGTTTCAGGGGCCACTGTTGCTAATACACCAGGCAGCCTGTATCTGAGGTTACTCTACACATTGCAAGGCAGAGAGGTTCACATCTTAGGTGACATCTTGGGTGCACATTAGATTCTCTTGTCTATTTTTTTACTAAAAGTTTTTGAAAAATATCTGAATATTTTGAATTCTAGATACACATGAATAGATTTCTTGTGCCTCAGAGTAGTTTATATTAAACTTACCTTATTTGGCACAAATTCTTATCAAAATTATCTGGGAGTAAGTATCTGTATTTGAGTCCTACGGAACCATGTTAACTCATTATTACACTTAGCCTGAACATAATCACCTGTCGTTTCTTTCTAGAAACCAAACATATGAAATCTGGCTAAATGCTTTCCTGAATTATAAATTCAGAACAAGAATATCAGTATATTATTGAAAAACATTTCCTTTTTACTTGAGCTTCTTTATTTAGTGGTCAAGCAAGTAAAAATAAATGTGAATGTATGCTCAATGCGGTACATTAGAATTTTAACAAGTCATTTGGAACATATCCTATAAAACTTTTTGGCAGTGGAGGCTATCAGCCTCTATAGATGAAAGGAAATAGAAGCCTATGATTCCTCTGTATGCATGGAATAGGAGAGTTGGAATCATCATGGACTTTCAGGACCAAGGAATGCAGTGGTCACAAGAACAAGCTTTGCAGCCGGCTAGATCTGAGTCCTGACTGACACTTAATGCTTCTATGAACTTGGGCAAGCCACTGATCCTCTTTGAGCATAAATATTCTCACCAGCAGATTTGCAATAATATCTATATCATAAGGTTCATGTGCAGATTGAGTGTAAAAATGTTATCAAGCCTTTGGCAGAATGCCTACTGAGGATATCCCTCACTGAATACTACTAAATTATTAAAACTATTATTTTTATTTCTTCTTCTTCTCATTATTCATTGTTGATGTCAATATTATTACCAACCAAGAATATGTTGTCTGCTTTGTAATACTAGGTTCTTATTCTAAGTCTGTAACAAACGTTTGCTAAACAGGTTCAAGTAAGTTTAGCAGAGCAAGGTTCCATTATCACCATTGATGGAAATGTCAAACTGCTTTGTACATACAAAGAATTCTTCAGATGCATAGTTTTAAACAAAATCCAATGTCTTTCTTTTCTTCCCCCTCCAGTTCAACATCTAATATATAAAGATTGCTCTGACTACTACGCAATAGGCAAAAGAAGCAGTGAGACCTACAGGGTTACACCGGATCCCAAAAATAGTAGCTTCGAAGTTTACTGTGACATGGAGACCATGGGGGGAGGCTGGACAGTGCTGCAGGCACGTCTCGATGGAAGCACCGACTTCACCAAAACATGGCAAGACTACAAAGTAGGCTTTGGAAACCTCAGAAGAGAATTTTGGCTCGGGAATGATAAAATTCATCTTCTGACCAAGAGTAAGGAGATGATTCTAAGAATAGATCTTGAAGACTTTAATGGTGTCAAACTCTATGCCTTGTATGATGAGTTTTATGTGGCCAATGAGTTTCTCAAATACCGTTTACACATTGGTAACTATAACGGCACAGCTGGAGATGCCTTACGTTACAGTAAATTCTACAACCATGATATGAAGTTTTTTACCACCCCAGACAGAGACAATGATCGATATCCCTCTGGGAACTGTGGGCTCTACTACAGTTCAGGCTGGTGGTTTGATGCATGTCTTTCTTCAAACTTAAATGGCAAATATTATCACCAAAAATACAGAGGTATCCGTAATGGGATTTTCTGGGGCACCTGGCCTGGTATGAGTGAGGCACAGCCTAGTGGCTATAAGTCCTCCTTCAAAAAGGCCAAAATGATGATCAGACCTAAGCACTTTAAGCCATAAATCACTAATGCTCATTCCTCTGAGTATTGTTCTTTAATAGGGCAATTAATCCCTTTTAGTACTCCTTTTCCATGGTTACAAATTTATCCCTGAGCAATGGGTTCTTATGCTACACAGCATTTGAAATAAAGCTGAAAAATATATAATTTAAAGGAGTCCTTTGTTGCTGTTATGCTGTTATGCAAAAGAACACTTGCAAGCACCTGGGAATATTGAAAATTACACATTAGATTTATAATTCTCTTAATTTCTATTAATTGAAAAGTTTTCTATTAGTTGTATCACTTGTTATAATTTAAAAATAATTGTTTATTCAGCAGGTTAGATTTTACACAAGTAATTTTTATTTTGGCTATGACAAACACATCTGAGGGTATAACATTCTTTTTGAGCTATAAAGAGTTATTTTGGTATTTATTTCTGTGTAAATACCCTAATCCTTATTCTGAGATAAACTCATTCAATTTATGGCATTTTCTTTGGGTCAGAAAGACCCTATAGCATTTTAGTTCCCAGGCACATTAATGCTGTTCATGTACTATAGTCATGAAATGTAAAATATTGATCATTTAAAATATTTTAAAATGTGGTAGCATAATGTCACTCCTAAAAGCATTCAGAAAATTAATTTGACCATAAGTACCATGGTTTAAAGGTAATTCATTCACAGTTTATAACTCTTTAGATGTTTGATAGTGAAAACTACTCTAACATAAAAATTCTTTTCTTTTGAGTTCTCTGTGCCTAATAGTTTTTAAGTTAAGATTGGTCACTGCTGAGCAAGACTACTGGTAAGCTTTCTTTTGGAGAGGTTGGTGTGGGTGAAGAATGAAGCATTTATTTATAGGCTATAATACTCTGAAAGCCAATTTTATATCCAAAGGAATAATAGCTTTAAAGCTAAGTTTTATAGGACAAACAGATAAATCTATTTATAAAAAACATATGAATTTTGAAATATATAGAACAGTAGTTCAAACAGTATATATTTTAACCCTAGCTGATGCGGTTGTTTTACTACCAGAAGATTCAAATACAGCTGTTTATTTTTTTAACCAAACAAAAGTATCTGGATCTTTTATAATTAATTAATTAATTCTGGGATGCAAATATCATACTCAAAAGGTTATAAAAAAAATAATGTGTTAAGTTTCATCATTGTAAAAAGGGATCATTTCAGAGAGAACAACAGTATTCTGCTATGTTCAAAATTACTCTAGAATAAAAATTGAAATACTCATTGTATGTGAGTCATAGAAATACATTTAATATTTAATTTCTAGTGTCTGTTTCTATTGTAGTAACCAAGATTTCAAAATACATTCACAAAGATGTATCTTTAGTCGTTATTTGAAAATGATTAAGAAGGATAGTTGCCTTAGGTAACAAGTTAATTTTTCGGGTATTGCCCTTTACAGAAAATTTTAATAAAAAAGCAAAAATTATTTTAATAATATATGATATCCAAAGCTTTTAGGTAAACATGATGAAAATTAAGTTTTATGAATACTATTAAAATTTTAAAGACAAATACAAATACAATTAAGTTATGAGCAAAATGTATCACTGTAGACCAAAATCTAGCATTGTAGATTCTAAAGGATGAGTATCTGCCCAAAAGGATATCAAGTGTAAATGTTGTAACTGGTTTACTCTTTCTCTCTTTTGTTTTTTTTAAATGAACATTTTGATATTATACAATGTATTTATTACAGATAAAGGCATTTTTATTTACTACATACAATTATTAATATATGTATAAGCTTAAGTAGAATTAAATTTCTGTGGACTCCTCACAGAACAAAGTTATAAAGAAAAATAGCTCAGACAGTGAGTGTGCACTGATTTAATGAGAACTAGGTATCATTTTGGGAGAATCTGGCATATAATTCATTAGTTTATGTAAATACTCAAAAGCTTGTCCTTCTGTCTTATTTCAAAAAATCAAAATTTTATTTTCCATTATACTTTTATGGCACTTTTCTAATAAAAAATTCTTCAATATAGAACTTTCTTTTTGAAGTCATTTCATGCCACTTATTAAATATACTTTAGATTTTTATGATTTTTAAAGTGTTGATGGAAGTAGATTATTCTAAGAGAGTCTTGCCTTAAAATAACTATTTACTAAAAAAAAGACAACTATTTACTAATATACGCTAATGTTCATAAATGTGGATTTACTATTAACAAACATTATTTTAGAGTTTTGTCTTGGTTCCATTTTAATGGTCAGTATTTGTTATCTTCATTAAGACTATTTCTGAGCTTTATCATTCTTTGAAAATAGAAACTAAAACTGGTCCTTAGAAATTCTTAGTGGAACTGATTCATTCATCAGTGAGGAAAAATATAAAAGTTTTCTGATAAGCCGTAATGTGCCAATGAATTAATGACACATCTGTCTAATAGGTAAAGAGCTTAAATATGCAAAGCATAGAAGATATTCTGGTAACAAAATTTGCTGGTCCTTATTTTTGAATGGACCTACCCAAGGAAAGGTTTTAAAGGTAAAAGTGATGGGTAATGTCATCACAATAAGCTCGTTTATAATTTTTCTTTTTCTTTATGTATAAATACATGTTTCATGTCCTCTAAAAACCCTGTAAAATAAAAGATTTAACCTTCACATCTATTTATTTCAACATGAAATTATTAAACATTATTGTCTGTGAAATAATATTTATATATGTACTCTTGTCTGAAAAGTTGTATAATGTTTACCTAACCAGACAATATCGTTCACTTTGAAGAATTTAAGGAGTATTATTTTACTAACAGGAAGACAGAGGCAAATACAGGAACACTATTATCTTATTTCCCTCTATTAGAATGCTGTTGACACATCTGAAATTTAAAAGTTTCAGTTTCATTTTGACACATTCAAAGCCATCTCCTCTTTTTCCATTATCCATGTGCTGCTCTAGTTCAGCCCTCATTGTCTCCTCAGGATAATGCAAATGCTTCCTAACAGTAAACTGTGCCTCTAGTTTCAATCTATTCCAACCTATCCTCATATCACTGACAGAGTGATTGAAAAATACAATTTTGATCATGTTATTGTCCTGCTTAAAACCTTTCAACAACTCCTCATTTCCTACATGATAAAGTCCAGCAAATCAGCTGCTTCGTGAACTGGTTTCTGCCTACCCTTTTAGTGTCTTTTTCCACCTCTACTCACACTCCTGCCATAGTGAATGCATGTTCTTGAGCAAAACATGTTCTTTTATATTTTCATGACTTTGTGTATACTATTCCCTCAGTTTACATAGAATGCCATCCTCAACCCCTGCTGAGTTTTATCTCCTTAGCCACAATTTAATAGCAGAGACTCAGGAGCCAGACTTGCTAGGTTTGAATTTTAGCTTCACCATTTGCAAGCTGTGTGATCACATGCAAAGTCACTTAATCTCGCTGTTTTTTGGTCTCTTCAATGATAAAATAGGGATAACAAGAGAATGTTCCTGATAGAGTTATTGAGAGGATTAAATGAGATAACATATGTAAAGCACTCAGAACATACATATGAATCATCATCATCATTATTATCCTAACTAGTTATCTCTTCTGGGCAGTCATCTCTGATGACATTAGGAGGAGTTGGGTACCTCTCCTCTTTGGTCCCATACCACTGTAATATTCCTTATTATACATTACATCATTTTACAGTTATCTAAGTTCTACCCTGAAATCAGTCTGTTTGTCTAGGATGTAAAGGAAATTTGAAACAGGAGTGTTGTTACTCAAAGTGGCTCATGAATATGTTACTATAGATGAAGGACTATAGTCTAAAGAAGCCAGAGTTATAGTGGGGGAAGAAGTGGGTACTTTCAAAAGGAGGATTTGGGAGATGGTACATACAGGTGAGAAGTGATTGAAGCCAGGGGAAAATATGGCAAGACAGGATCAGATATATACTATAGGATTGGGTACGTAACAATGGCAAACTTTTAGAAGGGATTTTCTGGGAACTGAAGTAGATTAGTAAGAAACTAAGAAAATTCTCTGGCAAGTGGAATGAGGAAACTGAGACAAATGGTTGAACAAATGGCCGGGATAGCTGAGCAACTAACAGCCAGCTAATAAAGCACAAGATATTGTTCTCCCTAACCAAAGACACCTAAAAGGAAATAGTGAGGTATTTTGTTATCTTTCAGGGAGATAACAAAATACCTTTCTGAGCTCATTTAATAGATTCTGAAATCCTGATCTGGTCCTCCCCTGAAACAGGTTTGACATCACCTAAGTAGAGAAAAAAATATTTTCTACGTTTTGATCTTCAGGGAGAAAGACAACAAAAAAGCCAATTAGTGACAGACTAATCCAAGATAGAGGAGAAACCAGAGAATGACCCTTGACTCCACTATATGCTCATTTTGCTGCATCAGCATTCTAAATGACAGACCTGTAGATCTAACACATATTCAGTTCAGATCCTCCCCTGGCACCTCCCCTAAAATTCCCGCCTATAGAAAATAGATAAAACCCCCAGCACATGTTCTTCTTTGAGCATGTCTGCTCCCTCCTCTTTCCTCAGGCAAGTACTTTGCTTCTATCCTAAACTCTAAGGGTCCCAATGAGACCTGCACCCAAGGGAGCAATGGACAGTGGCAGCTAGTCCGGGGCTTATGCCCTTATCCTGTCTCCAGGGGCCTCAATGCCCCAAGCTTTAATAAACTTACTCTCACTCTCACCGGGACTCCTGTCTTAAAATTCTCCTGCACAAGTCAAGAATCTGGACATCACCTGACACTCGAAAGCTCCCAGATCCTGCCAGGGCAGGGCCAGCCCCTGGCATGGAAATGGTTCAGTTACAGGTACATGCCTCTCGGTACATGTCATGTAGAGGGTATGGCTGTACTGGGCTGGACAGTGATTGTCCTACCTGAGTTTCTAAAGAAAAAAGTATTTTCACATTCTTATATTATAATTTTGAAATTAACTTTAATCTTACAAGATCCATGAATGCTTTAATTTTTTAAAATTTCAGATTAGACAAAGGCCCCTTTGGAAACTATCTTCAATTCCAAATCTCCTCTCTCCCCCCTGAAGTAACAAGCAGAGTTGGTCCAATCCAAACTGTAATTTCATTCTGTGTGTTGCCAAGTTGCAACATCTGCCGAATCATAGCTTTGCCAG